AGTTAGTACCGGACTGAGAGAGAGAGAGAGAGAGAGTTCTTCTTCTTCCTCTTCTAAGTCCACCATCTCTTCTTTCCCTCTCACCACTTGACTTCTGAGTATCAGCGGACTACTACAGAGAGAGAGAGTTGTGACTTGAGACTTTACGACATTGGATCCAGACTCGATATTGGGATTCAGACATTTTGACGAGGGACTATTTGGGCCTGTGCCGAAGACTTGGTGTTGACGACATTCTTATCTTCCCCTCTTCTTTGTCTAACCCCCCTCTTCTTTGTCTGTGTATGGTTGGGGCTGGCGCATTCTTCTTGTGTGAGAGCCAGGCCCCTTCACACTATGGAATGATCATGATGATGATGTATAATTGGGGCTGCATTGCAATATTGATTGTTCGGATCATTGGTATCTAAGTCTTCCGCGACGCTATCTTATACTTTGTATTAAGAGGTCGGTTCTTGTTTTGGTCTGCACCGTTACAGTATGCAACAGTTTGGTATCAGAGCGGACCTCTCATTCAGAGGACCCGCTCAATCAAGTAGCAAACTTGCTTGATGTATTGATTACTGATTAGTAAATCAAGTAGGACTTCGTCAAATCTCTGGAAAAACAAAATTCTCGCAACAAATATTTGAAACTTTATGATAATCGCATTTCGTTTTACCTAAAAATTTATGATATTACTACAACATAAAAATTTCCCAGAATTAAATAATCAATCTAGAATAAAATTACATTCTAAATTTTAAATTTTCATTCCATCTTAAAAAATGTCATTTCAATTTTAAAATTTTCCGTCTTACTTGAAAACTTTCATTCCAAGAATTGGGTATCTCTTCTTATTTGAACTGCATGCTAGAGATGGAATGAAAGTCTGGATGAGTTCATGAAATATTTTAATTGGACTGTCATTCTAAGTACGGATTTTCAGTCATAAATAGGTCAATCCAATCTAAATTATACGATATTTGTTGTAATAGAATGAAAGTCCAATTAAAACATTTCATAAACTCGTCCAGACTTTCATTCCATCTTGAACAAATAGATGTAGTTGGAAGAGAAAGCTCATATTTAGACGGGAATTTATCAAATTGAATTGAAAATTCTAGAATTGGACAAACATTGGAATGATAATTTATAAATATGAAGGATTTTTTTTTTATGGAATATTTTTTCAACTTTCATTTCTCATGGGAATTTTTCTGTTGTATTTCGTTTTCAAGCAATAAATATCTGAAATTTTCTGACAAACGCATTTCGTTTTATCTGAAAATTCCGGATAGTAGCATTTCGTTTCTCTTATATTTCTTATACACAGCAGAAAATTCCTGATGATCACATTTCGTTTTCTAGGCATATTAGGATAACGATAGAAGTGGTCATATTCTCGAAAACCGGATTTATTCTTTTCTGAAAATCGAATCTCCATTCTATCTCGCAATTTTTGTTTGAAAACCGAAATATTGAGAATCTTACCAGCATTTCGTTGTAAGCATATGAGGAGGTTGCCATATTTCCAGAAACAAGACTTAGTTCTTTTATGAAAATCGCATCTCTACTCTATTTCGCAAAAAACAAATTTCAAGATCGCATCTTTGTGAAAGCCGGAATTTTGTGTAACCTAACCTAGATCTCGCTCATAGTAATCTTCTGACATATCTCACTCATAGCAGATCGACATATATACAAAAAAAAGAAAAAGGAAGTAGTCCTTTTTTTTTTTTCTTTTTTTTTATCTGTTGATTAAGGTTGGGAGGAAAGTATTGTTGGGTTGGTTCCCTACCTGCGTTTTCCCTCCCACCCACCCCTTTGCATGGCATTGCATTTCCGGGTTGGTACATTGCCACGTCAGCAGTGTCACGCTGTGTGTTCATTCACCTCGCAACGGGATTTATTCAACTCCGTTGAACCCGTTGAACGACCATGAGGCCCGAGTTGAATCCTTGTTAAACGGTATAACGGAGGCTTACCGTTGAATTCCGATCAACGGGTCGATCGCAATGAGGCTCGGACACGTGGAGGAACACGCGTGGAATAAAAAAAAGTAAAAACAAAAAGTTAAAAAACCACTCTGTGTGTGTGTGTGTGTGTGTGTGTGGGTGTGTGTGTGTGTGTGTGTGTGTGTGTGTGTGTGTGTGTGTGTGTGTGTGTGTGTG